GGGGGCACAGGGGTAGCCTCAGAGTCACCTGTCGGGGAGGTGGGGGCCACCTCGGAGTCACCTGTTGGGGGCACAGGGGTGGCCTCAGAGTCACCAGTCGGGGAGGTGGGGGCCACCTCGGAGTCACTCGTGGGGGGCACAGGGGAAGCCTCGGAGTCATCTGTTGGGGACACAGGGACAGCCTCCCCATCAGTCACCATGGGCAGTGCCTGGTAGGTCACGGTCCAGTACTGCAGGTAGTTGGACCTCAGGTGCTGCTTCATGGAGCTGCTTTCCATCTTCTTGGTGATCTCCAGGTAGTTGTCATCTTCCACGGTGTACGGATACCAGTGTGTGGGGATGGCCAAGTGGCCCATGTTGGGGTCCCTGCAGAGTGAGAAGAGGCTGGGTGGAGACTACAGGCCCACAGGAGGCTGGAGACCTGTGCCCCTGACCCAGCTCTGCCCTCCCACATGCCTGGGCAATCTTTCCTGGCTCCAAGCTCGTTCCTAACACCAGTGCCACACTGTGTACTGGGCACTGGCCAGAGCACTCTGAGGGCCTGGTGCAGAGCAGGGCGCATGCAGGCAGCTCTTATCCTTATTTGGCAGATGGAGGGAGACGCCTGTGTTCAAAGAGGTTATGTGACTTGCCCAAAGTCTCCCAGCTGGTAAGTGGGGATGTGGGAACCCCAGGCCTTCAGGACCATTGTGTCTGTAGCCGGGTCCAATCCAGATGGGGCAGTAGACCTGTGGCTCTGGGTTCAACCCCAAGCCTTACCCACTTCTGGCAAAGTTGGTCCAGTAGGCGATCATGGTCTCGGAGACAGTCCTGTCTTGAGGCCGGTAGCCCAGGGGGGTGATGAAGGGCTTCCCAAGGACGTACTGGAGGTCGTCTGCGTGGTCGGCCCCCATCCAGCTCGGGTAGATGGGCATCCGAGAGGGGTGAGAGAACAGGTAGCTGTAGGTCTTGGCACTCCTGAGGATGAGAGGGAGAGACCACCCAGGTTGGCGGTATGCTCACCTGGGCCGCCCAGCCCAGAGACAGGTCTGAAGGGAGTGTGTGGGGAGTGCATGGGAGAGTCTGCGGAATTCCCACTCACAAAGAAACTAAGATTGTTCCCTCTGGAGAAGGGAAAGCTGTGGGCCAGACTCATGGATTCTGCTATTTTAATTGTATTTATCCCTCACCTCTACACAAAGGTTTGAGGCATCTTCCTTCTATAACTGAGTACCAAGAAAGTTTTTCTCTCCAAGTGGATTTGTATTCTTCATTTAATTGGACAAGGTATATGTTCTCAGCTGTTTCTCTTTTTGCCTTGACTTCAGGAAGCTCGGAGTTAAATTTACTATTCAGCTGCTGTAAAGCTTTCAGCCTAGACTTACAGGTTTAATTATGTCCTCCTACCTTTTAAGCACCCAAGTTGCACAATGGTTAAGCACTCGGCTGCACACCAGAAGGTTGGCAAGCTGAGTCCACCCAGAGGTGCCTCGGAAGAAAAGCCTGGCGATCTACTTCCGAAAAATCAGCCATTGAAAACCCTATGGAACATAATTCTACTCTGACACACATGGGGTCACCATGAGTCAGAGTCAACTCGATGGCAACTGGTTATTATGATATTTAATATGGTCACAGGAGCCCTGGTGGTGCAATGGTTAAGTGCTTGGCTGCTAACAGAAAGGTCAACAGTTAAAACTTACCAGCCCCTCCACAGGAGAAAAGACCTGGTAATCTGCTCCTGTAAAGATTACAGTCTAGGAAATCCTATGAGGCAGTTCTACTCCATCATATAGAGTCACTATGAGTTGGAATCAACTTGATGGCACATAACAACAATGTAGTCACAGGTTTAAGTTGTTTTGAAAGTGGGCAACATTGAAGCCCCTAAGAATTACTGAACAATGACCATTCTCCAGTCTTCTCTCCATCTACACAGCATGAGGGATGGAGGACTCCCCAGTGGGAAGGGCTGGATAGGGTGGAGGACCATGGAAGGGTTTTGTAAACCCCTGAGGCTGGGAGGGGAGGAGAGGTCCTCTGGAGCCTTTTCAGGCCTGGGCAGAGTAGATGGGGCAGGGACACATGGACCTGGGCAGGGCTTTCCCAGGCATCTCGACACCTGTGAGCCACCCACTGGTGAGGCCTTGGCAGGAAGGTGCAGCATCTCAGGTGGGTCTTCCCAGGGAGCCAACCCCACCCCCCCACCTAGGTGCTCACTTGGCATTGGTTCTGTGCTGGGCCAGGGCAACCTTGGTGGGCATCAGGAAGAGGATGTCAGTCTCCAAGTCCACCACAGTTTTCTTCTTGGCCTCCTGGGACGAGTCACTGGCCCAGGGCTCGGTGTAGATGTCGAAGGTGGCATTGGCGCCTCTCTGCCCCTTGGCAATGGTGAACCTGCTGACCAGCTTGTAGAAGTCCTCACTGCAGGGACCAAGCAGACACTGGACCCTCCGCCCAGTGCCAACAGGGGTACCTGCACACTCACCCAGAAGAGAGCCATGGATGCCCCCCAACATGTTGCTAACGTCCTCTCTCCCACCCCTTTGCTAATGTCTGCCCCCTCTGGGACCGCCTCCCCCAGGCTGACTTCTCCCCAGCAGCTTTCAGCACTGTTCCTGGCTCCTGAGCCTCCTGCTTACTCTGTGACAGTCTTGTAGGTCTTGTCAACTGCGGGCATATTGATGGTGGAAAACAGGTGGCCATCCATGTCATTGGTGCCTGCTAGGTAGTCGATATCGGCAGCATTGGCGTACAGGTTGATGGGGTTATCGGGGATGAAGTCTCCATCGACGACAGGGAGGAAGCCCAGATAGTGCAAGACGGGGTCTGAGTGGGAAAGCCAACAAATTCGTATACCTTCCAGTATCCCCCTGACCTCCCCTCTGCCTCTGAGGGTGGAGTTGACTGCAGGGGGGACCTCCTTCCTTCTTTGATCTAGAGTAGAGTTTCTCAACTTTGGCCCTATTGACTTTTCGAGCCAGATAATTCTATGTTGGGGGGGACTGTCCTGTGTATTGCAGGGTGCTTGTAGCATCCCTGGCCTCTACCCACTGGGCACCAGTAGCACCCCTCCCCCAGCTGTGACAATCAAAATTGTCTCCAGAAATTGCCATGTGACCCCTGGGGGCAAAATCATCCCTGGAGGACCACTGGTCTAGAGGCCATGTCTGTCCCATTGCTGCAGTGTGAGTCCCTTTCTTCTCCCTCTCTTCTCACTGGGACTAAATTTGGTAGAAGGAGATCTAGAAGCATTTGAGGGGACTGATGAAGAAGGAAGCATCCTTCTCCCAGGGCAGGGTTCTAGTCTATTAACCAAAAATTCTGGGAGGCCCATATTGCCCTCCAGTGCCCCTGAACTAGCTCCTGAAGAACCATATGGGGCAAGTGGCTGCAGGAACATCAATAGGTTCAGGCTGTCCCATTTTCTCTCCAGGCAGGGATGGGGCAGCTTTCTGTTCCTTCAGCAGAGCTCCAAATGAAAGTGTTGGCTTTGTTTTTGCCAAGCACTTAAGTTTAATTTACATAAGTTATGTGGTGGGCCCCACTGTACTTTGCCTGAGCTGAATGAGCAAGAGAGAATTCCAGCCTACCAGACAGAGAGGATGCTGACATTCATCAGTTTGTACTAATGGGTCCCCCAAACCTTCCCAGGGTATAGAATATTAGGGCTGGAGGGCCAAGTGCTACAGTAGATGCTCAGTAAATATTTGTTGAATGAGCAAATGGTCATCTAGGATAAATTTCTTGTTCTGGGGTCCATAAATTCCCTGGTGGGCTTTAGGGGTCCATGAATCACCCTAAAATTATGTACAAATAACTCCTTATGAGTGCACTGCTGGGGGTGCAACCCAAATGTTCATCAGTTTCTTAGGGGGGGGTCTGTGACCCATGGAAGATAAGAAGGAAGAATGGTCCCCTTACAGCCTGGTCCACTGAGGCCTACAAGGGGGCAATACCCAAAATGGGAATCCTGCAAGTTGTTGAGGAATTAAGCCTCAGACAAGACGCTTTCCACTCTTCTCCAGGAGCATGGCCCTGCCCAGCAGAGCCCTCCCCCCACCTTGAGCCCCCAGGCCCCCATACCCAGCCACCCCACTCACAGTCCAAGCCAGACAGAGGCAACTTGTAGGCCATTGTCAGAGCACGGGGGTCAGTAACCTTCAGACACTTGGCCATTTTGGAAGTGTCATCCGTGGGGCAGCCCACTTCCTTGGCGATCTGGGGCAGGTAGGGGGAAGTAGTAGACAAGTAAGTGAGTCCAGTGCTCAGGACAGAGAATGATTGAGGACAAGGACACAATCTGGGGTGGAAAATGGAAATGTGGAAGACCTCCTCCTGGCCGCAGCACTGCCACTTACCATTTTGGCCCAGGAGAGTGGGTTCTTTTGGATGGCCCAGGGGCTCAGCGCCACACCACTCTGGCTAATGGCTCGCCGGATGAGGCCCTTGTTGTAGGGAGAGAGGGTCTGCAACACACAGAGGCCCTGTGACCAAGGCTTCACCCATCCTGCCCCAGCCCAGGCTCAGCCAAGGATGCCTAGCAAGTCAGCTCCAGCCCCACTCTCCTTCTCCTGTCCACCCCACCCCCATCAGCTCCCTCCCGAATCCTTTGGAGAAGACCCTCCACTCTGGGAGGCCCCAGACCTGCAGAGAGGCACTGGCACCTCCAGCTGATTCCCCAAAGACGGTGATGTTGTTGGGGTCTCCCCCAAAGGCCGCAATGTTTCTCTTCACCCAGGCAATGGCCATGTGCTGATCCAGAAGGCCATAGTTACCTGAGGGCGGGGTGGGGGCAGGGCATTCATTGGGGACTCTCGGTCGGGAGATGGGGGTGCTAGAAATGAGCGGCCTAGGCCCTGGCACACAGTAGGTGCACAATCAGTGTGGGTTGGGTTAAAATGTCCTCAACTGCGTAGAGCCCCGGAATGGCAAATGATGGGCCTGAGGAGTCTGAGCCTGGGTACGGTGCTGGAGAGGTTTGGGAGGTTGGGGAGGGGGAGGGGGAGGGGGCAGGACTGCCTGGTCGCCCCTCATCTCTCCTCGCTTCCATGGTCCTTCACACTGTCTCTCTCCTGCGTCTGTGTCTCAGCCTCAGTGTCATTTTCTGTCTCTATTTCACTTGGTTTTGCTGTCCCTGCTTCCCTTAGTCTCTCACTGGGTGTCTGTCTTTCTGTCTGTCTGGCAGCCTCTTTTATTTCACTACAGCTGAGTCTCATGATTCAATTCCAGCTCCCCAGCTCTGTGACAAGGACTCTGTACCTTTCTGTAGAGCTGCTAGGGGATGATTGGGAAGAGAGGCATTTAGAAGGGCCCCCCGCTGAGCTCAGAGCTCAGGAGATAGGACACACTGGCTTCTCCATCCCCAGGGCCCCCAGGTGCTGGGCAAACCTGGCAAGTTGGAGTCCCCGGTGCTGAGGAAGCCGAGGGGGCCGACGCGGTAGTTGAAGCTGACCACGATGACGTTGCCGCGCGTGGCGATCTCTTCCCCATCGTACAGGTAGTTGTTGAGAAAGTTGGCTCCTTGGCCAGACCCCATGAGGAAGGCACCTCCGTAGATCCAGATCATGACAGGCAGGTCCTGGGAGACTGGGGTGGGTGAGAGAAGGTCTGGTGACCCAGAGACACCCATCCCTCTTCCTGGCTAATCCCCCCACTTTCATGCAGGCGGTGTACCCGTGTGGCCTCCAAGGGTCTGCCCTGCTCCAGGCATGGTGACCAGCAGTAGAGCCCCTTTCACCCCTCTCCCCCGTCCCCCTGTGCTGATATCAGCAAAGGTCTGTCTTAGAGCCCCCAGACACAACCAGTGGTGTTTGGTCCTGGGACTCAGATTCCTTGGGGACTTCGGCAGGGAGAGGGGAACTCGAGGGACTGCGGAGGGAGAGCCCACCTTCCTTCTTGCCCTGGGGGACCCAGATGTTGAGGTAGAGGCAGTCTTCATCCCCGTAGGTGTTATCCTGGGTGATGGTGGCCTGCAGGCACCGCTTCTTAAAGTCCTTGGCCTCCAGGGTGCCTGCAGATGACAGGAAGGGCTGAAGTGATGGTGGCCGCCGCGCCATCCCACCCTAGTCGAAGTGCCCTGCCAAGCACCTGTTCACTCACACCTTGCCAGCCAGGGTGTTGCTGGGGTTTCTCCAGGGCCTTGGGGGGAGCAGCAAAGGGGATGCCCTTGAAGATGTCGACATAGTCACCAAAGAGGCCAAGCTTCTTGTTGACGCCTTCCACGAAGCCACCTTCCGTGTACACTGCGCCCAACTGTGAGGGAAACTTGGGCAGGTCAGGCTGGCTCACAATCAGGATGGCCCTGCGGTGCCCAGAGGCTCCGCAGAGATAACTTCAAAGGGGAGGTTTAAGTCTACACCTGAGACCAAGGCAGTGCCCCCTACCACTTGCTGCAGGGGCAGATTAACCAGTTAAGTAAGGTACACACGGGCTTACTTGTGCTTATTTACTAATTTGTAGTGTTCGATTTTACTTTGATTTTAAAATCAAAAGAAGCAGTGAAAAACAGGTGAAATTGTGCACTACAGATTAATAAGTAACCACAAGTCAGCCTGTGGGTACCTTGCTTATTAGGTAATCCGTCCCTGCTTGCCCACATTGCTTAAGGAAGTGGCTTACTGTCCTCTCCTCTGGGGTCCTGTTCACTGATCCCAGAGGAAGCTGTTTGACCACTGTTGCCACTCAGGAAGGCTTCTCCGGGGGGACCCAGAGAGCAGGTGTAGATTTGGGTGCTGGCTCTGGCCTTGAGCCTAAGTTTCCTCGTGTGTAAGATGAGCAATAGCAGTGTCTTTCTGTGGGCAAATGTGTGATCAGATGGGATGCTCCCTGGGCTCCAGCAGGGGTAGACGCCCAGCCTAGACAGGTTGAATGAACTGAATATTTTTGTTTTACACCCAATCCTGAGCTTCCTTGGAGCAGGCCCTTCTCTCCCTTTGTCTGGTCTCCCCCAAGGTGCCTTGCTAGAGAGTTGGTGGCCTGGTGCCCAAGTCCTCACAGCCCCTGTGCTCCCTACTGAGAAGATGCCAAGCACACACCCACGCCCACCCCTGCGCAGTCAGAACTGCTGCTGAGAATCCCACATTGCACAAGGGTCCTGGAGGGTGGTGCTCTCCTCTGCCCATTTCCCAGTGGAGGGAGCTGAGGCTCAGAGGCTTTCCTGCTGGAAGTCCCCCTGCTGAGACATGGCAGTCTGACCTTAGAGCCAAGTGCTTCCACCCTTCCCAGGGCTGCCTCCCTGTCCCAGGGCAAGTGGGGGTGGGGAAGCAGTACAGCCACCCTCGAGGGTGGCTATGCCAGGTATCTGCTCCTGGCTTTCACCTGGACCAGGTTCTAGTGTGGGGAAGGGCAGGGCAGCCCCTCTGAAATCTAGGCTAATAGATGCTGCCTGCCACAGTGGGGAAGGCAGAGTAGGGCAGGCTGGACCTGAAGACAGGAAGAAGCCAGAAGCAACATCTGCCAGGCTGCCCTGGGGGTGGTGGTGGGAGGGTCCAGGAGGTGGGCTCAGGGCCAGGCCTCTGCCTGGAGCCCCAAGATGAACTCCTTGTTCCAGGCTTCCAGGCATTTTTCCTGACCCAACTGACCACCACTGGGAGGAGGCCAAGGGCCAAGTCAAGGCTTGGGACTGGGAAGTCACCTCCCAGAAGTATCTCTGCATCATCGAGATGAGGGCCCAAGGGCATGGGGACCCTGGCACCAGGGGGAGAGCTGACCCTGGACTGCTGCAGCAGTGGGGAGGAAACTCCACTCCTTTTAGTACCCCAAAAAGCAGTCTCCCCAAGAAAGAGCAAACCTACCCCCATGACAAGTGACCCAGGGCCAGCACCTGAACCTCCTGGTTTGAAAAAGGACAAAGGGGCAGGTCCCTGGGGCACAGGAATGCTGAGAGCAGGATCTGGCTGTGTGGAGGAGTCCCCAAGACTGGAGACAGCAGGGGTGAGAAGTAGAGAGACAGTATTTTGCCTCTGGGAACAAAGAGGCTCTTCCTGGGATCCCTGCCTTTCCTGGGGGCTGAGGCCCCCCACGCAAGCCTGGCTGGGACAGAGGCTGGACTAGTGCCCACAGTCTGCTTATAGTTTTGGGGGCTCTGTCCTCGAGGCTCTGTTCCTCACCCTCACAGTGAGGGCAGTTAGGGAGGATAGATTTTACACATGCCCCAGGAGAGTTCCTGTGCCTCCTGACTCCAGGCCTGGAGGGGAGCCGGCACGTAGTAGGTGCTTGTTAACTCCCCCTTGGGAGGAACGTGGTTACATTGGGAGCCGGCCTCCAGGGTTGGAGTACACTGGGTTTCAGACTCCTGCTCAGCCACTTGGGGCCGGTGTGTTGTTGGGCAAATTGCTTGTCTGTTCTGGACACGTTTCCCCTTCTATAAAATGGGGATACCATTAGAAGAATGTTGTAGGTAGGGGTGCCAGATTTAGCAAGTAAAAATACTGAGTATTTAGTTAAATTTGAATTTCAGATAAACAATGAATCATTTTTAGTATAAGTATATCCCAAATATTGCTTGGGACATAGTTATACTAAAAATAATTCATTGTTTATCTGAAATTCAAATTTAATTGGACATTCTGTATTTCATCTGGCAACCTGAGTTGTTAAGTGCTTGGCTGCTAACCAAAATGTGGGCAGTTTGAACCTACACAGCAGCTCCTCTAGTGAAAGACTTGGCAATCTGCTCCCGTAAAGATTACAGCCTAGAAAACTCTAAGCGGCAGTTCTACTCTGTCACATGGGGTCATTATGAGTCAAAATCAACTTGACATACCTAACAACAACAACAAAGCCTGAGTTACAGGATGAATGACCTCAGTTGTAGGGTGAGTGAACCCTGTGGAATAGCACAGGCCCCAGCACAGAGTAAGTGCCCAATAAATGTTGGCTGCTCTTGTTATTGTTGCTGGGTTCTTCTTCTCTGGCTAGTGCTTTCTGCCTGTGTTTCCATCTGTCTGTCTTGCCCTCCTCCATGCTCAGCCCCCACAGCTTTCAGATCTGGTTTAACAGGAAGAGAGTGAGAGACTCTCGCCCTGGCCTCTCTTGCCTACCTTTGCTGAGCTTGCCACGGCCAAGCAGCAGGTGAAGCCCAAGACCACCAGCTCCAGGCGCCCCATGGTGTGTGCCTACCTCTGGATGGCCCTCCTGCTGGGCCCGTGGGTATTTATGAAGCTAGAGCCAGCTAGGAACCTGTGTTGGCAGCTCTTTGTGGAGGACTCCTTTCTCCCTCCTCCTACCTCTGCCCTTTTCTCCAAGCTGGCCATGCTCCAGCCTATGTTCCTGGGGTGAGGAGCCAGCTGCCGTTCCCAGGGGGTCTCAGTCTAGGCCAAGGTTGTATACACACACTCAATGTACACACAGCTACAGGGAGGCTCTTCCCCAGTTCCAGCTGCTCCCAGGTGCTCTGGTGCCAATGTTGCACCTGTGCAGGTTGCTGTCTACCTGGGAGCAAAGGCAGGTGGTACAGGGTGTGGGAGGGTGCTTCAAGGGGGCACAGTGCCCTGAAGTGTGGCTCATTTACAGGGCTTGGTTTCCTCATCAGAGAAATGGGCATGCTTGGTTTCCATGCCCTGCCTGCCCCCAAGCTCAGTGGAATGTGAGTTGTAGGAATTCCTACAGTGTGGGATTGCATGTGTGACTTCCGGGATGGGGATGGCCGTAGGCTACTTGGTTGTCAGTATGGCTGCCCCTTGTTATTTCCACGAGCTGACTGAGCCTGTTACTGAACCTGGGAAGGTGGGTTCTTGTACGGCGTGCTCAGATTTGCCAATAATCTAGACACCGGCCTTTGAGAAAGAGAAAGTAACTTTATTGCAGTGCAAAGAGCAAAGAGCCAGGAGAAGTCCCCCAGATCCACCTCCCTGAGCTACAGGGAAGCAGGGCTTATATGTGATTTCGGCAGCAAGATGGCGGCCACGCACGTGTACTGGGGAGGGAAAATTCTAGAAGGCGGCCAGAAAACAGGAGGTGAGGTGGTTCTTGTTGGACCTCTCACTTCGGAATAGGGTCCAGGTGATGATTTTCCTTCTGATTTGTTCCTCCTGTTGCTGAGTCCTCAGTCGAAGTCAATTAGCAGTCACAGTTGGCCCTTCTGTGCGTGCAGGGCAGGCCAGATCTGGCTTGGGCTAGTTTAAGAACTAATGGAAATCTACTGGCATTCACAGAGTTAGGTTACAAGCCCACTGGGTGTGCAGGCTAGGCTGGGTGCAAGGATACAGAGCAGTACAAGATAACCTTGCCCTCAATGATTTTAAAGGGCGTCGGGGAGATGTCACAGGTCAGCATGACGAGGTCTGGGATGGGAAAGGACAAGGAGCTCCAGACGGGCATGGGGTGGGGAATGGGAAGCACAGGGCCAGTCTTGAGAGTCAGGAAAAAAAGAGGGAAAGAAAGGAAGAGGGAGACTTTCTGACCATAAAGAACAGCACGAGCAAAGGCCCTGGGGCATACTCTGACCAAGCGAGAGACAGAGACACAGAGAGAGAGAGAGAGAGATGAGATAAAAGCAAAAGAGGCCACTAATATTTCTTGTGAATGTGTATTACTTTGGCAACCAGAAAAGGTTATTAAAAATTTGAAAGACCCTGCCCACCTTTAAGAAGTTCGAACCCATCCCAAGTTTCCATGCTGGATGTTGCCTCTCTGCAGAGGACATTCATGTGGCAGCTCCTACACTGCACAGCACTTCTCAGTGATGTGTTTGGGAGCTGGAGGATGGTATGAGCGCAGCCAGGACCCTCTTTGCCATCCTGGAGCCTGTGTTTCTAAGGCTTATGCCACCCTCGTGGCTATAGCCAGGGACTGCATGGGTCTGCAGATCCACACCTGTCTGTCTGTCTACCTGCTAGAGTTCTCGGATCTTTTGTGCTGCATAGCGGGCAGAGAGAAGCTGGAGAAAGGTAGGGAGGGGTCAGTGGCTGATGGCTGGGAGGGAGAAATTAGGACCCACGAATAAAGGGTTCGTGCAGGCTGGAGCTGGGGCAAGCCTGGGTTCAGCTGAGGGGTGTGATGACCTACCAGCAAATGGTTTGAGGGATGCTGCCCTGGATGAGGAAATGCATTTGGCAACTCACTCCTTTTGCCTCAGCAATTCCAATTCTGAGAACCTATTCTAAAGGAAGTAAGTTTGAATACAGAGGGGAATAACCCTTTGTGTTCAAAGATATTCACTCTAGTGTTATTTATAGTTGCTGAGAAGGAGAGGGATAAGGGGAGAGGGAAAAGAAAGGCCCACATTTTTACAGCAAGGGGACATTAAGTAGACCACAGGTCACCCAGTGCCCGACACAAACCTGCACAGAGTGGGTGTTCAATAAACACTGAATGAGTTTCGCCAGAAATATCAGAAGAGACTAGCATTGTCCATCCAATGAGAAAAATTGCTAGCTGGCTACATTTGTTGACGTGTCCATTAGTTGATTCTGCTTTTTTTTTTTTTTTTGATGATTTTTGTTCTTCTTTAATAGTTTATAGACAAATTGTTCTGTGGCACTGGTTGCAATCCCTGCAATGTGTCAGCAATCTCCCCATTACCACCCTGAGTTCCCCATTTCCATTCGTCTGGTTTTCCTGCCCCTTCCTACTGTCTTAGGCTGCACTCTCTAGAGAAGCAAAATCAGTAAAGCGTATAAATATATATAGAGAGAGAGCTTTATATCAAGGAAATGGCTCACGCGATTGTAGAGGCTGGAACGCCCCAAGTCCGTGGATCAGGATGGAGGCTTCTCCCAATTCACTTAGCCGCGAGGGCTAGTGAACCCAAGATCTGTAGGTCGGAGGGGAGGGTTCTTGCTCACAGGCTGTGAAGATTGACAAATCCCAAGATTGGCAGACAAGACCACAGGCTTCTCCTGATTCATGTAGCTGCAGGGGCTGGCAAACCCAAGATCGGCAGGTGGGAGAGCAGGGCTCTCGCTCACAGGCTGTGAAGATCGATGAATCCCAAGATCGTCAGATAAGCTGCTAGCTCAAGTCCCAAGAACCAGAGGTCAGATGAATAGGAGGCAGCTTCAGGATCGAGAGTAAGCAAAAAGCCAGAACGTCTGCTTATATTCGGATGCCGGTCACACCCCCAAGGAAAATCCCTTTCAACTGATTGACTACTCACAGCAGATTGCATCATGGGAGTGATCAAATATAAACACTGAGTATCATGGCCCAGCCAAGTTGAAACACAATCTTAACCATCAGAGTCCACCTCTTGTCAACTTGGCACATGTACACATCTCCTGAAACGATACAAAATCTTTGAATAAAGACAATTATAAAGTCATACTTGCACCTAACATGATACAACTAACGCATGTACAACCAAAAACACACTAGCCCAGTTTACATCTTATATTTTCTAAGTGAAGAAAACAAAAATATTTGATGCACACATGTTGTTGTTGTTAGGTGCCGTCAAGTCGGTTCCAACACGTAACAACCCTCTGTACTACAGAACATAACACTGCCCAGTCCTGCATCATCCTCACAATCTTTGCTATGCTTGAGCCCATTGTTGCAGCCACTGTGTCAGTCCAGCTCCTTGAGGGTCTTCCTCTTTTCCACTGACCCTATACTTTACCAAGCATGATGTCCTTCTCCCGGGACTGATCCCTCCTGATAACATGTCCAAAGTATGTAAGACGTAATCTCGCCATTCTTGCTTCTAAGGAGCATTCTGGTTGTACTTCTTCCCAGACAGATTTGTTTGTTCTTTTGGCAGTCCATGGTATACTCAAGATTCTTCGCCAACACCACAATTCAAACGTGTCAATTCTTCTTCAGTCTTCCCTATTAATTGTCCAGCTTTGGCATGCATATGAGGCGATTGAAAACACCATGGCTTGGGTCAGGCGCACCTTAGTCCTCAAGGTAACATCTTTGCTTTTCAACACTTTGAAAAGGTCTTTTGCAGCAGATTTGCCCAATGCAATGCGTATTTTGATTTCTTGACTGCTGCTTCCACAGGATGCACACAAAGAAAAGCAGAAATACTCATAACAATTACAGTCCTCGTTTCTGCAACTGGTCACAGGGTCGTAACTGGTACTTAGAACTACCTTCTTCCACCACCCATTCTGTATTCCCTTTGCCCTCAGCAAGCACCTCAGCTGATCCTGGTTCTTTGCCTGGTGGAGTGACCAGGGTTTGGGCCATTAGTAGTCATGTCAGACTTGGGTTGCTGTAATTTTCCACTGACTTTAATCACAGGGCATGGTAGTACTAAGAGACACCCTAAGGGATCTCCTGCATTCCAGACATACTCTTCTTTACCGCCATTATGTAATATCAATCTGATTTCCTCTTGGTAATCAGGATCAATCACACCAGTCAGTATGGTAACTCCCTTCTTTGCCTGTTGACCCAGAGGCATAAGGAGCCCTGAGTAGCCAGGTAGCGTTCTTAGCTTCCAGTTCAATGGAATCAGTGATGTGTCTTCAGGTGGGAGCATTCCTACCTTTGGATCTAAGACCTCTAGACCTGTGGAGCATAAGGTCGCAGGGACAGAAAGCAAAAATCTTGCAAGTGGGTCACTAAGGGTAATAGTGAGTGGTGCCACTCCTACTTCCACCCCTTGATTCCTGGACCCATGAATTCTGGCTATGGGAGAAACAGCACCATATATTGGATGCTGGTTTAAAGCATGTACAGCCTCCCGGAGAGTATTGCCCCAACCCTGCAAGGTATTGCCACCTACCTGGAGCCGTAATTGAGTCTTTAGGAGGCCATTCCATCATTCTGTCAAGCCAGCTGCTTCAGAATTATGGGGGAACATGTTAAGACCAGTGAATTCCATGAGCATGGACCCACTGCTGCACTTCATTTGCTGTGAAGTGAGTCCCTAGATCGGAGTCAATGCTGTGTGGGATACAATGATGGTGGATAAGGCATTCTGTAAGTCCATGGATGGTAGTTTTGGCAGAAGCATTGCGTGCAGGGAGGGCAAATCTGTATCCAGAGTAAATGTCTATTCCAGTAAGGACAAAACACTGCCACTCCATGATGAAAGTGGCCCGATGTAATCAACTTGCCACCAGGTTGCTGGCTGATTACTTCAAGGGATAGTTCCATATTGGGGACTCAGTGTTGGTCTCTGCTGCTGGAAGATTGGGCACTCAGCAGTGGCTGT